GAACATCACAGCAAAGCAAGAATCTGACCTCTGGATTCTCTTATTCAAGGCCAACATTATCTATTACACAACAGGGTTGTCCTCACATTAGCACACAGAAATTGCCAGAGCGGCTTTGATCTGATAATGGACAGGCTTTGGATGTATGACCTGTTTGCTGTGTAAATTATCCACATCACCTGGAGAGGTTCCAGCTCTGCGTAAGCGGCTACAATGAACATGCGGTCGTCCATCTGGTCAGTGAAGCAGGTCAGCAATTGCTGCAATGGACACATTGCACCTTGACGTATTCTTAAAATCTTGAGGGCAGAATTGGAAGTGGGACTTAATAATGTCTTCAAACCCATACATTACACTGTTTTTGCATCACGATGAATCAAGTAAAAGTCAGAATAAGGGGTCTTCCTCATGGCCAAGTCAAAGCATTTTCCACCGGTTCTTGAGCTGACAGAAAACTCTACTTGCTTAAAATTTGCCACCCCCATTGGCCATCCTGGCCCAGGTATGGTGCTGGCAAAATCTTTATTTATCATCAGGTTTGGTGAATTCTCTTGGCGTTGCTTTCCTCCTCTCCAACCACCCATTACCACTCCATGGAAAAACATCCACCAGATATTTTCTTTAACATGGGTTAGGACTAGGGTTGGGGGTGATTTATCGGGTGGGGGAGGGCTGCGCAATAAAGAAAAACAGGCTTTCCTGCTTTAGGAGGCAGCCCTCTCTTATCCCATGGAGCGACTGCCTCAGTATCAGGTTTTAACAGGCAATTAAACCATTAAGTTTAGTCATGTGTTAAAATTAACCATCAGTTGTAGCACTTTGGTTAGTGGATTCCTGCCAGGTGGTGATGGCAGAAAAGAAGGAGGATGTAAAGCTAGGGGGTTTAATCAAACCCTAAATATTTAAATAATGCTAAATATATCCTGTATTCCTTAAATCACAGTATCACCATCCATCCCTTTATAGCCAAGATAGAGATTGGCAGTGGGAACAACACTTTTTATGCTGCTATTGTCTGAGGATTTGAAGGTGAACAGAGGTCACTGATGCTCAGCATTACACAATTATGACGTTTATGCTGGTAGACAGACTTTAGGGTGTAAATGCATGTAAAAGGGGGCAGGGCTTCAATCACACAGTTGATCCATTATCTTGGCTCTTTGTCCCCTCCCCTGAATGCCCCTGATCCTGTCAATGGTTCACAAAATTATCTGCACTCCAGGTAGGATCCAAGAATCAATAAAACATTTAACCACTAAGAACCTGGATCAGCAATAGCCTAATGGGCAAGAAGAGTATCTGGAAGCTTTAGCTGGTGCAAAATGCAGCAGCGTGGAAAGTTATGTGTGCCCCTCGAAGGGTACATGTTACACCTCTGCTCTGCGAGCTCCATTGGTCGCCAGTTTGCTTCCAGGTCCAATTCAAGGTGGTGTTTTTGACCTTTCAAGTCCTTCATGGCATGGGGCCGGGTTGTTTGAGGGACCGCCTCTCCCCGATTACATCTGCCTGTCCCATCAGGTCTGGCAGAGAGGTTTTGCTGCGGGTCCCACCTGCCAGGGAATTTCATTTGGTGGGTCCCAGGAGGTGGGCCTTCTCTGCCGTGGTGCCTGCCTTGTGGAATCTTCTCACTTCCCCCGGCAGTGAGATTAGCTCCGTCCCTCTTAACATTCCGCAAGTCCCTCAAGACCTGGCTATGGGATCAGGCCTGGGGGTCCCAGGGGACCGGGGAGATTTTGCAATGGCTCCCTTACTACGGTTAACATTATCCTCTTCTGTTTTGTGTGTTCTTTGTAGTTGTTATGGTTTTAATGATTGTTTTATATGTATTTATTGAGTTTTTTTAATTGAGTGTTGTATGCTGCCCAGAGTCACTCTCTTGTGAGATGGTGTGATGCAATGTGAGGGTGACCTTGGAAGACGGGGCAGGGAGGAAGAGATGTCACCTAGGGAATGATCAGATAAAAGAGAAGTTACAAGTGTATATGTGAGTGTTTTCTATTGCCTCTATTCTATTCAATTGCTATTATTTCTATATTACTACACTAATCCCTATTACTGTAACAGTTACAATTACTATACTCTATTACTATTTAATTACTATTACAATATTTCCTCTATACTGTACTCAATTGTATAACTGTTCTATTATTAGTACAACAATTCCTCTTTACTATTACTATACTACACTCTGTAGCAAAACTATTATATAACAATGTTTTTGTCAAGTTCAGCCCAAAGAACTCCAAGAGACAATGCAAATAC